CTTACTTGACATAACTATGAAACACCTCAACATACACCTTAAAGACAGGTAATCACAATCACAAGATTAAGACTGAAAAAGACAGCATGAACGTTTTTGGAACTACAACTGATCCAAACTCCTACACTCCAGCCATGAAAGGGAAAGGGAACTATCTGCAGTAACTGGTAAAAAATATCCAGTCGCTTTTCTCCTGTGATTCCACTTCTTTACACATGCATGGGGACATAAATCACTTTTTGCTCCAGTGTGGAGTTGATATTAAGGTAAAGGTTACATTTGCCATGGGCTGCATATCATTAACTACTTAGAAAATGAATGTATATCAGCGAAATGACCTCTGGTGTGATGTCCTTTTTGTGTGTATTTCTGAACCTCACCATTTGAATTGAAATTTATCTGTGTGTCAAGCTCTGATCCCACAGATACAATTCATTAGCTTCTTTCAGGCATAGCTTGACGATATTTTGGAGACGGCAGTTTTTAATGATCCTTAAGGATCAGGTATTTGAAACTTTTTAAGGTGTTTACGTCTGACCCTTTGTTTTTTTGACCACAGAGTAGTCGTCCATGTGTTCAAATAGGCATGCGTAATATTTAGTAACCCTCAGGGAAATGCAAAATGATGGACTCATTTACTTAAAGATCTGTTAAAGAATACTTAAGCAGCAATTACAAGGACAGTCCCAAGATACTTTGTGTCGCCCAGATTGCTTAAGTGTTCTCCTAACACAGAGGAAGACTAAACAAAACATTTTCAAAGGGTACGTCTACTATTGCAGGTTGTTTAATTAATTTGTTGAAATTCTTAAGGTACAGTAGTAAATAAAAGGTTTTAGCACTTCTCAAAAAGCCCTATTAGTCAATTGAATTTAATAAAGAAATCATAATGTGAAAAATGATAACAGCAATAGTGTTCATCCTTATACTGCAGCTGTTGTGAAACAAGCTCAACAAAGAATGTACCTTTTAAAAAAACTAAAGTCTTTTTCAGTCAGTCCAATTATTATGGCTAGGTTTTATCAGGCTCTTATTGAGAACCTCCTGTGCTTTTCATGTACCTGTTTCTATAATTGCCTAACATTCAAAGATAAAAACAGTCTGAATTATGTTGTTAAAATCTAAAATCATAGGATTAAACCAGAGGGAATGGTCTTCCTTTTGTAATGAACAAATTGCAGAAAAGGCTAAAGTGATCTTCTCTTTATCAGAAAATATTCTCCAAAGTGAATTCTCTTTGTTGGCTTCAGGACACCGCTATGTAATGCCTCAATGTAAAACAATCCACTGTGCAAATTCCTTTATACCAACAGCCATTTGACTTTTGAATTCTATGTAAGGTGGAAGGTGTGTGTGTGTGTTTTTTTTTTTAATAACTTATCTTTTACTATCTTTCTGTGTATTTTAATTACTCTTAATGTTGGTCCTCTTTCTGTAACATTTTTTCTTTTTTCAATCATCTTAATTTTTTATGTTAATACATGTTTATTTTTGTTTGTTTGTCTCCTACACTGCTCAGACAAATTGCCCCTGATGGGATTAATAAAGTGGTCTAAGTCTAAGTCATCCAAAGCTTTTTTATTGTTTCCTTGTTCACATAACATAACATTGCTTTTACATTGCCTTTTTCCCCTCTTTACATTTTAACAGGCCGTTGCTAATAGTTATGCCTTTTTTTTCTTTCCTTTGTCTTGTTATGATATTTCCATCTCCTGGTTCTGAAACAGAACCCACTCCTAATTTATTTTTTATTATTTTTTATTTCATTAAACTTTTATAGTAATATTCATATCCACTATTACTTTTTTAAACAATTCGCTTCAGTTGTTTAGGTTTACACTCTGGGCATGCTGGTTGCTTTGGTTCTTGACCTGTTCAGACAGGAGTCTGATTAAGTTTTATTTAAATAGAATTGATGACCACACAAAATAAATTAGAAATTAGCCTCTAAATCAGCTCTGTAGGTGAATCATGGTGGTAAAGAAGTCTTTTGTGTGAGAGTTCACAGCTTCTTTCTCTCGGAAATTGTCTGCACACTGATTCTACATATTAATGTCAAGTCCATCTTTTGTTGGATGCAATCTAAAATGGCCAATGGTCCTTTTCAGAGCCAAAAATTAAAAAGAAACTCTGGCGCACTAATCGGATGTAAGAAAAAGTTTGTTGTGGAAGCAAGCTCTTTCACTCAAAAAATCGGACTATGCATGTTTGTTTTAATAATCGTGAAAGTGTACTTTTTTCCCGTTAAGCTATTCTAATAACCACATGCTACAGCCTTACAAATAGATTTTAGCTTAAAATTGCTTCCAAAATTTATAGCTATTAAGATGCCTAACTTTTTTTTTTGTCCTCCCCTTTTTGCATATATCTATATTTAAACAAATTGATATCTCTCTATAAAGTAATGTTCCATCTTAAAACCATGACACACCATCCCTTCTCTCATTTGGACTGCGTTTGCCAAATTTTAATAAAGTTCCATTCGACTGCCTTTTTGAACGGACAGAAGAAATGTTCTGCTGCTTGCCAGCATGATTAAACATTTAGGATTCACTGGTTTCTGTGAGGTTAGCACTGGGGATAATAGGCCTCCCACTCAAAGTCAATATTCCCTGCTTCTCCCTGCCCTCCTCTGATCCGTGTTAGTATCAGCTCAGTCTCTTCTTACTTCACTGTAGAGTGACTCATGCTGAGTTCTCTTGTGGTCTGAGAGCTCGTTTCCACCTATGTGCTTGTCTGTTATTTAATTCATGAACCTAGTCACTATTCATATATGAATTATCGGAGTTTATAAATACCCCCTCATCTCTTGTTGTCTTTGAGGTAAAAAGGACATGTTTATGTTTTTCATATTTGTTTTCAGGCTTTTATGAATTTTTAGACCCTTGAATAATTCTATTATATTTCAGCATTCTCCATCGTTTCGTTTTGATTTAGTGTTCCTACACTATAAATTCTGAACTCCTATCTATCTATCTATCTATCTATCTATCTATCTGTCTGTCTGTCTGTCTGTCTGTCTGTCTGTCTGTCTGTCTGTCTGTCTGTCTGTCTGTCTGTCTGTCTGTCTGTCTGTCTGTCATACATGATTAAAACCGTTTCTTTTCCAAACCTGTGAAATCCCTCATTCCCTTATAGTTAAACACACGTTCCATCTGACCTCCACAGAGACACCCCTCCTCAGATAGATTAAACTGATATATCTCAAGCTTAGCTTTATAATTGTTTCTTTTAATGATTTTTATATTTTCTAAAAGCGTCCTGGATTTTCTTGGAAGAGTTTACAGTAGATGGTGTTTCTTTTTTTGTTGTTGTTGTTTTATTCTCAAAGCTGTCCTCTTCTTTTCTCTGTGTCTGCATTCTTTGTTAGCCCTCTGAAAAATTTAACATTATGGTCTCATATTGACAAAAAAGGTCTTGATTCTTAATCTACATCCCCTTGACTCATTGAATGACAAATGCTGCAATGCATAAGGAAGGCCATAGGTGGTTATACCAAGGACATCAATATTGTAGCAGCACCAGGCTACTTTGACTGGTTTACAAAAAAAGAAAACAGAAAAAGGAAAATGTTTCAACTGATATTTATCATAAAAATGTTATAACATAAAGAAAATCTGTAAATGTACCTTTATAGTTGCCTTCAAGAAACCTTTACTCTTGTTATCCATGTATGTCTGATCACAGCACAGCATAGATTGCCTTATTTCCCACCTTTGTTTACACTTGGACATCTAATATTAATTGATTTAGACTTTATTACTGTATGGATTTTGTTGTGCTATTGTATTGTCAATCACAATAAACTGATGCGCATTAAATCTGAGTCCTAGTCCTACCCAGGCCACAGGAGGGCCCATGAAACCCACCTCAGTTGGTGGTCCCACTTTCATATGTGACCCACGTGCATTTTTGAAGCCAGGTTCCTCCAATTTAGCATCATGTTGAAGATATTTGCAATTCCAGTAAAGAAACATCTTAACAGAAGTTTTACACTTTTTACTTTCTATAGGCTATGCTTTCAAATCTCTGTTGAAGAGAAGGTTGTATGCTGCTAAACATTTTTTATGGCAGATGGAGGAACTCTTATTTTGTAGAGACATCATTGTCAAAAAGTCTATTTTGTCAACTTTTTGTTCCCATTCCGTTAGTTTTCAGTGTCAAATGCCACCTCCCCCTTCCCTGGCTGCCACCCTTATCATGGTCTCCTCTCTACCATTTACCATTCCCACAAACTCTTCTTATCTTCAGAGTCCCTGGCCTTGGTGGGAGACAGGCAGATATGTAGACTGGGCTTGGTGCGGATGTTATAAGGTAGACGGCACAAAAATAAGACAGGTGAAGGCCGCCACCTGAGGGGGGAACTGGTTTCTGACACCTCTATTAACCTTCAGGAGAGATCCAGCAGCTGTCACACATCTCTACCTTCTCCTTTTCCTACAGCCCCTCATTTCTCAGTCTGTCTGCTGTTCCACAGGCAAAGATTGTCCCCAGAGCAAAAGAACAAAATAACAAATGACTTCTATTTTCCATTTTATTTTTACAACCTTGAAGACATTGGTATGCAATGGATTTTACTAACATTTATCCACAGGTCTAAGTTTTCTCTATCTGCTTCTCATCCATTCTTTAGTTTGTCACCCACTTTCCAGTGTGTCCACTGTACAGTTTAAGTGACCTCTTTGGATGAAATGCATATGGCAGGAAAAATGCTTGATTCTGTTCAGTGATTTATAGCTAAGTAGTGAAAATGCATGTGCAGCTGTTCTACATAAAATCAACCAGGATAATTGAAGCTAACGGAAAATGAATCATACAGATGAAATTAGACGTAAACCTGTCTCATGAACACATGCCCTTTTTACCTTGGCACCCATTCAATATGTCATTTGTGTAATTCGAACAAGTGATTGTGGGCGGTAGTGAAATATAACCACTTTAATAGAAGCGTGTTGCTTCTATTAACAATTTCCTCTTTTTTTGTCTTCTTTTCCACACAGGAATTTACTCTACTTCAGCTAGATGATGTGGCCGATCAGCGGGTCAACATTGTTGGTTTTTCGGTCTTCAACAAAACGCATCCCTTCTTCCAGGAATTTGTGCTAAGCCTCAACCGCTCCTGGCAGGAGAACTGTGACCATGCACCCTTTGCTGGGACGCCGGTTAGTGACCAAATTAAATCATTTCACCTGCTGCAAGGATTAAAGATGCACCCTAAGAATAATGGGCAACCCTTAGCTACTGCAGTTGCCCTCAGAGGACTTTAGATGAAATGACTATTTTTCTGTCTATTAGTTCTTTGAATGACAATTTCTTTAAACAATTGGCATACAGTCCTTCTATTTAAAGTCTAACTCACCCTTAAATGGGGTGCTTTTAATGTTACTGTTAATCTTTCTACATTTTCAAATGATATATTTAGTTCTCCAATATAAAAGTAAAAAAAAAATAAACTACAAAGATTTTCTCTTGTTTTCAGGTTAATTTATTCCAGCATATTTATCAAGTGAAGTTGGAGATGCATTAAGACATTATTATCTAAAACATGTTTTAGTCTTGTAATGCTTTTGGCTGTAGTGATTAAATGACAGTGAGAAACTGGTATTGCTTTGCTATATTATTTATGACTAGAGGGAACACATTAAGCCCCATTACCCTTGACAAATCAGCCTAAATGGATTAATAAACACATGAAAAGCCTCTCGTAAAAATACCACTGAAAAAAGCGCATGGCTGCCATCTGATGAAACTTATTTACAGAATATCCGCAACTTATAACAGTTTCATTGGAACCCATACAGTGTAGGCTAACAAACAACCTGACTCTGCCAGGAGGACAGTGGTTGCTGGGCTACACTCCCCTGTTTCTAACATAAGACCGAAATAAACTTCCGTTATACTGAATTAACATACACACAACATACCTATCCAATAGAAAGCCTTCTACCTCTGCATCCAACCCTCAAGAATTGTCTGGACCTTTTAAAAATGACACCAATGTAGACTCTAGTTTTTTTCCCTTTTGTTTTTTCTTTTCTTTTCTATTTTCTCTTCCATCTCGCTGGGTGAAGAGTATGGATAATCCTCCATTTCAACAGAAAATAGCTCATAGAATGACAAGAGGTCTTTTTGCATGTTTGCTACTCACTTCTTCTCCTCCAGCAACAGCTACGGTTACACAGGTAAAAAGTGTAAGACGAACAAGCTTGTTCCCTTTGGCTACAGTCATCAAACATGGGGGTGCAACATGATGCACCACCAACAACGAGTGTGTTTATTTTCAGAGGATGCATCCTCCACAGACCCGCTCTACCTGGACTGGGTCCTTCGAGGTCCGTGAAAATAAATAGGCTGGGAAAGTTTTGCGCATAGAATTAAACAGGTCCAGCTTTCTCCGGCTTTCACCGAACGTACTTATAGCTTATAGCAACCGTAATAGTTGACACACAAAGCAGGCAAAGAATGGATGCATGAATTCTCACTTCTGTTCTGGGTGCTATAACATTTTCAAGGAGCTTCAGCAGCAGGACCGTCATCACGAATATCATACAGTAGCAGTCATTCAAAATGGCCCTTCCCAATCAAATGCCAACTGAATGGCAGCCCACTTCTCTGCAACTCCCAGCAAAATCCCCTCCAACTTCCAGCTTCTGGAGTGACCCCCCCTCCTTCTGCTGGAGGTATTTTTATTCTGGATCCACCCTTTCTCTGAATTACAGGGTCTGTCCCGGATAAGGCGCTTCACTTTAGATCTTAATGTCCACAAATCATGACAGAAAGAATATTCTAATATAAAGATTGATGCTTAAAAAGGAATTGTAGGGGACCAGCCAAGGAACCGCCAAGGGCCCATCAAGGAAAGTGGGGAAATTATGAATGGCTACTTCTGTATGATAGTCCCCACACTGCAGATACATATGAATATGTGTCAGCATCACACATTTACACAGTGACAGATAAAACCTTTCAATAACAAAAAATAAATACCTGCCACATGTCTGAGTCACTAACCATTTAAAACACCTATTTTCATGAATTCCAGATTCAGGAACTATTGACATACTTGTATTATATTAAACCTAAATTACAATATTCACCACTGTTCGGCGCCATTTTCCTTTTTCCTCTGAACACGGAACAGCCAGCTTGCTTAGACTCGCAATGAATCACGGGATACCCAAGGCTATATACAGTAGGATATACTGGACCTGTCCATCAAAACAGGCAAAAAGAAAGATGCATTTGTCGGCTGCATAACAAGGAGTCTTCCAATCCAAACAGGCCTCGGCGTCTCGCTATGATGTAATCGGCTGACGAATCTGACCTTCGGTGGACGAAGGCATATGAACTCAGCATATGTAGCCTAGTTTTGAACAACTCATTTTAAGCTATGGGAAAACCTTCATTTTAAGTGTGATTGTTTTTAGACTTTGGCAGAGCATGTGTTTATGAAAGCAATACTTAATTGACAAAAAGCCAAACTAGTCACAAACACAGGAATCTCCACACATAGTTTAACTCATTATTAATCCTCTATTTCTGGTTCTTCTGGTTCATCTTGTTGTTCAGGATTAGCACTTCTTTGCAAAATAATTTAATCTTGCCAATTAAAAAAAAATCTGTCAAAAATACTAGCTTTACTCTAATCTAATACACATTTTTGTTTAATTTTGAAAGACATCAGGAGTGTTACTCTTAAAACAAAAAGGGAAGCATTATCAAAGATGTTTAAGACCTTTATACTTTTTCCTTTTGCAGCTTTATATGTATATATTTTTTTATTTTGCCCTTCTTTTCTCTGTATTTTCACACATCAAACAAAATTATTTTTGCTTGTTTTTATAATTAATTGCAAAAGCCCTTCAGATCTCGCTAATGAGTTGAGCTAGATAAAAATTATTCTCTTTACTAACCAAATTCTCTAGGGCAACAAAGGCAATGTCTTTTGCAGATCTCAGCTACAGTACATGTCCTAGGTAATAAACTCTCTAATAATAGAAGTAAACATTTTGAATTTGAAGCATATTTTAGGGAGCAAATTGTGTCATGGTTCAGTATTTTAATAGTATTTTATTTTGGGTCTCTATTGTGTTTATGTTTTTATAATTTCCATGTTGTTTAATTATTTTCTAAGTGTCTTCCCAAATTATAATTTTTTTTATTTTATTTTGTTCAGTTTCTTAGTTTGTTCTTTTGTTCTATTATTTGTGCATTTGGAATTAATTCTCTTAGTTTACTGTTTAACTTGTTCTTTAATTAGAAGTGTTTCTTAGTACATTTTTCTTTGTAAATTACTGAGCTCTCTTCAGCTGCCCTACCTTCATTCTGCCTCAGCTTCTCTATATTTCCCTGTATTAGCCCATCTGGTTAATTTGTCCTTTCATAAATCTGCTTCACTCCATGAGCTCAACAGTCCTCTTTATTCATGCCTAGATTCGTCTGTTATCCTGCCTGTATTGCAACTTTTTATCTATCCATGTGCCATTCCTCGTTTTCCATGGGTTTTATGATTTTGTAATGTGACCCATATTCATTCTTAAATAACTTGATGACTGATTTCTGAACTTTGGTCCTTAAATCAACAGCTGATGTGTGTTGATCTGTAGTCTATCCCAATTAGCCAGGTTCTTTACATGACAATGCTGTCATGCCTAGTTTGATGGAACAGTATAAGTAACTTTTATTGGAGTGTTCATTTTTGAAATTCACCAGATTTAACACGTTAAATTGCCCTCATAAATTGTTGTTGATGGGTCTACAATTTCTGGATAATATCTGACTCTCTAATAGGTGGTCTAGGCACAACAATCCTTTCTATTTGTCTTTAAGAATTTGAGCATTTTAAACTGCATTATTGCAGAAAATTTGTGTTTTCAGATGACAAAGTGTACATTGGCATGCTTTCCTACTTGTGCACTATGCAGTCAAGGCATTAATACATTCTTACAAAACAAATTTAAAACCATTAATTGGTTTTCCTTATATTAAAACAATGTGATTTTGTAGATCCTGTACTTAATCTTAATTAAAACCTTTTAAATTGGTAATGTTTTACAAACATGACCAGGAACCTAATATAAAATTAAATCAGGGCCACTCAACTCCATATTGACTTTATAACCACCACAGTTCCCAACAACATAAATGAGTTGTTACATTCATGCTGGTTTTGCACAGTTTCTATCTTAGTCAGTTAAATAGCAGGCTGCTGTCATTTTGCACATCTCTGGTGTTGCTGCTATTTTTTAAATATCCATTACTGTAAGAATGTCTATAGCCGTATATTAGCTATATGTTTTCCAGGTGCCCAGTATTTATATTGTCAAAACACTTTACAGTGCAGTACTTTTTTTGTTTATTCTTTTTAACTCTTCACTATTATTCTTTTTCTTATACTCTTTATAGGGTCCACATTTGTGTGACCATTCTTTCTATAATCGTTTTGCTACTATAACCACAGACTGGACATTTTCCAAAGAGTTAGATCTTGGTAAGTGACCGACTGACCCTAAGCAAAGAACCAGGTTAGTGACAAAGTGGCTTTAGGGCAACAATTCTGTGTTTTGAACTTTGAAGTGGACATCACAAAGCCCTGATCCTGGTCTGATTGAAAATTTGTGGACTGAGCTAAGAAAGTGTGTGAGCAAGACGGTCTACAAACCTGACTCAGTGATTGTATGAGATGAAAAGAAGCACTATTGAAAATTCTAATTAAAGGTCAGATGAACTGATTCAGGATCGCGGTCTTCACCTAAATAGCCTTTGTTTAAACAGAAAATACTGTTTAAGAAACTCTACCAGGTGCACCCAGAACACGGTCAGCTCATACAATAAAAAGATGCAGTGTGAAACACATCAGGAATATTTTAAGCATAGCTTTAAAAGTGTCTTACTTGCCCAGAGCATCACTTGGATACTTGCTGAGCCTGTAGCAATTAGGACTTCTAGTTAATTAGCAAAATAACCACTGAGGATGCAATCTGACAGCAGCCAAGCAAGAAACTGATTAACCCAGTTAGACACGAAATGTGATAACATCCTTTTAATTCACTCGGACATTTTCAAAAAATTGAAAAGGGATCTAAACAGCACATGTGATAAACTAAGACATTATTGCATTCATATATTAAGTTTGCTCTAGTATTTTCTAAAGACAATCTTTGTGGGTATAGTTTAGTTAACTTTAAAATCTTTCTAAAATAATGCATATATTGTGTATTTCAAAGTATGAAATTATATGTTTACAGTCATTTAGTCTTAGTATTAGCAAGTTTTGATATATTCAGGTACTTTTTCCTTTAGGCAGACCCAGTGATTTTTAGTTTTCAACCATCTACAGCTTTTAAATTGTAGCTGTTAAATTTATGTAATTCGGGAAAATTGGATGCAATCTTCTATATCTTATTGTATCTGCTTTGTATTAAGTATTACTGTCGATTTAATGTATTTGAAGCATGACATTGTCACTACCTTGTTTAACAGTATGCAAAGTATGTTTAACTTTTAAAATCTAATCTGGCCTTTCCAAGAACAATTCTTTCAATGTGACCCTATAGCTTATAATTTCTCATGTGTTAATAAAACATTCCTCCTGAATTAGGTTGGGTATGTAGTGAATTTAAATATGTCATTTTTTTAGCGATGCTTCTTTCTTGGTTTCCATTTATTCAGATAAAAATTCTGATCATAAACTTGGTTCTTTGAGCACAGTGATAATTTTCTAGCAGCTTCATGACAGACTTGCATATTAGTTGAGCTTTGGTCATTTTAAACACCCAAACAAAATGGCATTGATGTCTATATTTCAGCAGCACAATAATTCCAAACAAACCTCACAACTAGTTTCCAATGGTTTTCTTCAAAGGAGAACTCATCCCCAATATTGTCTTTTTTTGTTGTTGTTTACATGGATTTCTTATAGTGCTGCTTACAATATATCTTCTGGGCATTTTTTTTGCAATTTACTGTACATTTGTTGTATTCCTGCTATTGTGTCTATAACTGCCTATTTGGCACCTTCCTTGTGTTTAATGAGTGTGTATCATCTAACTGTGAGTCAGTGTTGGTGTTGGCTCTACCGTTACTGTGAAGTCACTCAGAAAAAACGGATGTCTCCATGGCAAGTTAGAGTGAGTCTAGAGAAAGACTGCAGATTTTACAGTTTACTCTAATCTGCATATGACCTATCATCTTAAACTGTAACACCAACTTATTTGGATAAATATATGTAATTAAACGTCTGTGTCCTTTAAAATAAATTCAGCAAATGTCTTTGTTCGGCGCATCAAAAAACACTACAGGTGCATAAATGAAAAATATGTGGCAGTCCAAATTATTTATCAGTCTAGGCTTCCAGAATAATGAAACTCACCAATTTATACCCGCTATGTTATCCAACATACACAAAGCTGAAGACGTACCTGTTCCCCGCACAGAGGAATGCTCCGCGTAATTTTGTTTTTGGTTGCCTTTTTGCCGGTATCAGTCTGCAGATATAGTGTCTGTAGTGCTTAGATCTAAGGAGCTAACGGTGATCTCACAGCTTGTGGATATTTGTGCCACATTTTAAGCATCCAGTGCTGATTTTTATAGAAGATTTACTGTAGTTTAATTGAATTATGTCAATACAGCACCCAGAAAGCTCTTAAAGTAGGATATTTGGAAAACTGCTGGAGAAGTGAGAAGGACAGACATGAAAAATAGATACAATTTAAGATATATATATATATATATATATATATAAGCTTAAATAACTCTGTAAACATATGTATTTAGATTATATATACGTAACCATGGCCTCAGCATGCAGATCCGATGTTGCTCACAGTGGTCCTCAGTGAAAATGAAACATGGAGCCTAGGAAGTTCAGCTGAAGAAACTCATAGCTCTCTACATCCACCTGCGAAACAGCCAATTAGCTTTGAACCACACCTCCAAGAAAGCCAATCGGCATCCAAAGTTCATCTTAAAAGGCCTCCGATACGCACTGTCTGCTCCTGTGCGCAGGCGGCAGATGCGTTGTGTGACTCCACTGTCGCTTCATGCTTGCTCATCATGGACAGGTTCTCTCAACCTGCGTTATCCAAACTGGACTTCCATCTTCCAGGTCCCTGAGTGAAGCTCTACTATTAGCTCACGCAATCCACTGGATCTCCACATAACGCTCATCAGTCTACAGACTGACCAACTTCATCTATCTCCCCTCCACCACCAGTTTCAGGCCTGGGGGGAAACAGCCCTATTATTTGCTCCTCTTCATGCATGTCTATCAAAATTAAGCGCTATTTTTCCTGCCGAGGTCTGAGCGCCAAAGACAAAGTAATTGTGTCAATAAATTTCTCTAATTGTCTTTTCTCGTCGTGTGAGTTTCTCAGATTGAAATTGAAGTGAACATTGGTATACTGCTTAAAAACTGTCCCCTTTGTATTGTTTGATGCCTAGAAAGCCTAAAACCACTCACTTTTAATATTCCATTTTCTTTATATAAACATGCTGCAGTATTTAAGTTCAGAAATATTTTGGTTTAATTGTGTAAAGATTGTCCACAGCTGAGTTACAATTATAAAAATAGCTTTGACATGATCATAGTTTACATTTGCATATCCTCCACCCATCAATTTCAGGTCATTAGAGCATGATCAGCATATTGATGAAGGCACTCACACAAAAAGTGGTGTGCACAGTCTGTTTGCTGAATTGCAAACGCAAATCACTTTTTTGCCTTCATTGCAGGTTTGCTCTGTGCATCCAAACATGCTTGGACCTGTTCTAACGCATACAAAGCTTTTGGAGATTAGGCCCCAATCATCAGCATCAGGCATAAAGATTGTAGAATAATTTTCTTGTGTTTATTTCTGGTTTGGCTAAAGTCCCTTTTTAAGATTTTTAGTTGGACCCCATGCAGTTACCTTTCCTTTTTTAAATTTTTCCTTTAGCGTTCATCTATTTCCCTCTCTGTTGTGTATATTTTTCATTCCACTTTTGTGATACTTCATATCTAGTCCCATTAAACAGATATATAGCTGTGAAGCTTAACCTCTTAAAAAGCTTCTTATGTCGAGCACTATATATTTGAATAAAATTAAAGTAGCAGGGATAGAGCAGTTGTGATGATGAGGTTGTTTGTTCATGGGAGATGAGAGGAAAGGCTGGCTCTCCCACTGTTTTTGGCCCTTGTTGAGAGCGGCAAACAGTAATTGAAATAGTCATGGTGTGCAAGCTTCACTGGTGATGAGAGCAGGAGAGACAGAGTTTCTCTGAGAAATAGAAAACAGCAATAAAGAGAGAGATGATTTTCATCTGTCAGCAGATTAGGCTTTTTCTAATGATCTGATGGAATTTAATCACTTCCACTCTAAAAATGGTTCACCCCTCCTAACCAATAAACACAGACATGTTAGACTTTGAGCTATTGCTGGTTTCTGTGTGTTTTATTGTGTGCAGTAATAATGGATTCACCTTCTTCCTCTTCCTCTGCAGCTGTCATCAGCCCTGCTATTTGATGCAGTATATGCAGTGGTTGCAGCGGTCCAGGAGTTGAACCGTAGCCAGAATGTTGGTGCAACTCAGCTCTCCTGCAAGTCGTCTAAGATCTGGGAGCATGGCACTAGCCTCATGAATTACCTGAGGATGGTAAGATGATGAAACTGACAATAGCAGAAACTATTCTCTTTGGGGTTTTTTGTTTTGTTTTTTTGCTTTGTTTTGGAAAACAGTTGTTATCTATTTCTAGTCAAATACAGGATCTCTCATTTTTTTTGTGCAAAGTTATAATTGCTCAAAACTTATCCTATGTTATACTGTTATTCTGAGCAGATCTGTTGTTTGTGCCCTTTTAAAAGCTGCAGTGTGGAGGCCAATTATCCAGTAATTGATTTGGAATAGCTGGATTAGGTGTGCTTTTTAACTTAGAGAAAAGCACAACAAATAATCAGTGCGGGATGAAAAGAGGTGACTGAACCAACATTAAGCACAAAAAACACAGCAAAAGACTAATCAACAGAGAGTTACTGAGAAATCTCCACTCTAAATGAAAGCAAACTCTTTTATTCATTCTCAGACATTTGAAATTATGATGACATTTTCAGAGCAATTATCACACTATAGCCGCCACCTTTTTTTTTAACTGTTAAGCTCAAAAGCCTTGAAAATTTGTCAAAATGTTTTGATTATCTTATCAGAGTGTGGATAATAGGACAGCACCTAACAATGTAAAAACAATTTCTAATCCTAACTTTTTAACCAACAATTTGTAGCTGGGTAAATGCTTTAAAAACACAGGAATGTTTGTGTCCGTTTATATGCCCTGTTACTGGAAAATAAACCTTCAGCTCCTTACTTTGTATTTTATTTCAATAGAATAGAATAGAATAGAATAGAATAGAATAGAATAGAATAGAATAGAATAGAATAGAATAGAATAGAATAGAATTGGGGTTGACAGTGGCTAAAATGTATTATATAGTTAGCTTGTTTCCCAACCTTTTTTGACTTATGTACCCCTTTGGGCATTTTGTCTTACTATGAGTACCCCTCTCAGTCAAAAATATTGATGACTGTCCAAAAGTGAAACGTACAATAACTAACATAAAGACTTAATCTTTTAGTTTGAGCATTTTTTTTTTACAATTGTGTGTTTTACTTAACAAATAAAAATAAAACAACAAATATGTTGCCTGTTGTGAGGAGTTAGTAAGGAGCTTCTCTGAGTAACTCCCTCATAATCACATTTAGACCTGATGAATTGGGAACAAAATACAGAACAAAAATTATATTTATCCTGACATAATCAGTTTTACTTTGTTTCATTAAGACACCTGAGCTTTGATAAGCTCAGATAGCTCAGTGTTGGTTTGGATGTGTGTCACCGCTGAAGGTAAACTTAAACGTATAAGAAAAACTTACTTTTTGGTTGATAAAAGCTTGTTTAATTTTTCAATTGGGTCCTCAAAAAGCAAAACAGATTCCAGCTCTATTTTCTTACCTGATAAATGAAACATTTACATGTACCCCTTGGAATGCACTTGCAAACTACTGGGTATATACATACCCCTGGTTGGGAAACACTGGGTTTAACCACTGTCACTTCAGATAGGTAGCACTTCCAGGTTGAACCTTGACATGCCCTAAAATTAAGTAGTAGGTGGTTATTTCAAAATTATTGTTGTTTAATAAAAAGTCGGACAACTGTAAACTTTCTCCTTACCAAAAGTTACTCCATTATAGGATAAAATATTCACAATTTAGCGATTTTTCCAGAAACAGAAATACTTTTATCAATAACATTATTAGGCTTTTCCATCTATTTAGACTTTTTTTTGTTCAACAGAAAAAGTAGAGAATGAAGTGATTCTGGTAAAACAATTCTTCCACAATGTATTTTTTTTTTCATGGGAATTATATGTTCTACATTGTGATTGCTTTAGGTGCATATTCCTCAGAAAGGTTGCATTTAATACAGTAATTCAGATGGTTAGACCTTTCTTAAAAAATAAAAGATTGTATAAGTAATAGTGCACAAACTGCTATTTTTCTGTAAAGTTGCCCTTTTATTATGTCAGGTAAAGACTTTTGATTTTTTTGATCTCCCATTCCGGATATCTATGGATAATAACTTTGTATTCCCTGTTTGTTGTCAGTTTATCTTCTCTCTGTATTATTCTGAGAAACAATGAAGGAGGAAAGATAAAGATGTGCTGTCAGTGGATTAAAGTGTTTTCCTTTTGGAGATGAATGGCTGTAAAGCGTAAAAATCCTTAAATGTGACACAAGTTTGATATCAACCAGTTTGTTTTTCTTACTGAAAGAAATTAAATGAGTGATTAATCCCTGTAGACTAAAATTACTAATCACTTCCATTGATAATGTCATTTATACAATAATACTATCTCAAAATTAGACTTCAATGGTTTATGGAAGCGTCATTATAGATTTATGTATATATATATATATATATATATATATATATATATATATATATATATATATATATATATATATATATATATATATATATATATATATATATATGTATATATATATATATATATATATATATATATATACATACATACATACATACATACATACATACATACACTATATTGCCAAAAGTATTTGCTCACCTGCCTTGACTCACATATGAGCTTAAGTGACATCCCGTTCCTAATCCATAGGGTTCAATATGACGTCGGTCCACCCTTTGCAGCTAGAACAGCTTCAACTCTTCTGGGAAGGCTGTCCACAAGGTTTAGGAGTGTGTTTATGGGAATTTTTGACCATTCTTCCAGAAGCGCATTTGTGAGGTCGCACACTGATGTTGGACGAGAAGGCCTGGCTCTCAGTCTCCGCTCTAATTCATCCCAAAGGTGTTCTATCGGGTTGAGGTCAGGACTCTGTGCAGGCCAGTCAAGTTCATCCACACCAGACTCTGTCATCCATGTCTTTATGGACCTTGCTTTGTGCACTGGTGCACAGTCATGTTGGAAGAGGAAGGGGCCAGCTCCAAACTGTTCCCACAAAGTTGGGAGCATGGAATTGTCCAAAATGTCTTGGTATGCTGAAGCATTCAGAGTTCCTTTCACTGGAACTAAGGGGCCAAGCCCAGCTCCTGAAAAACAACCTCACACCATAATCCCCCCTCCACCAAACTTTACACTTGGCACAATGCAGTCAGACAAGTACCGTTCTCCTGGCAACCGCCAAACCCAGACCCGTCCATCAGATTGCCAGATGGAGAAGCGCGATTCGTCACTCCAGAGAACGCGTCTCCACTGCTCTAGAGTCCAGTGGCGGCGTGCTTTACACCACCGCATCCGACGCTTTGCATTGCACTTGGTGATGTATGGCTTGGATGCAGCTGCTCGACCATGGAAACCCATTCCATGAAGCTCTCTGCGCACTGTTCTTGAGCTAATCTGAAGGCCACATGAAGTTTGGAGGTCTGTAGTGATTGACTCTGCAGAAAGTTGGCGACCTCTTCGCACTATGCGCGTCAGCATCCGCTGACCCCGCTCCGTCAGTTTACGTGGCCTACCACTTCGTGGCTGAGTTGCTGTCGTTCCCAAACACTTCCATTTTCTTATAATACAGCTGACAGTTGACTGTGGAATATTTAGGAGCGAGGAAATTTCACGACTGGATTTGTTGCACAGGTGGCATCCTATCACAGTTCCACGCTGGAATTCACTGAGCTCCTGAGAGCGACCCATTCTTTCACAAATGTTTGTAAAAACAGTCTGCATGCCTAGGTGCTTGAATTTATACACCTGTGGCCATGGAAGTGATTGGAACACCTGATTCCAATAATTTGGATGGGTGAGCAAATACTTTTGGCAATATAGTGTATATAAACAATAACCACCCATGAAATAATGAAACTTTTTTATACACCAATTACGAATTTTGCAAGATAAAACTTTATTTCTGCAATTTATGTTTTGAAATTGTATTGTTTGCTTGCTGTGTAGCTTAATTTCTTACGCTTAAAACATATAATTTAATGGTATAAATCTCAGCGAGAGCATTTGCATATGTCTCCAGTTATTATGCTTTTCTCCACAGTAAAGCAAAACTAAAGAAAGCTGGCTTAATTGGCCGCCATTAGATGCAATTAGGTGTGAGTGTTTCTAAATAGATTTTGGTGTCATCTGAGCCTTTTAATTTGAGCTTATGGTAATGTGGGCTAGAATATCTTCCTCTAGTATAGAGATACCTTTAGAATTTTAATATTAGACTTTTTGTTGAGGATAATAGGGCTTGAAACAATATTGCAAAATGACCATGAAATCCTAAACTTAGTGGTAAGTGTGCATAATGAGGTGGTGGACAAGAAACAGAGCGTGCTCAATTGGACTTGGCCTTAAGCCTTTTGCAGATAGATCAGGAATGTAAAAAAAAAAAAAAAGAAGAGAGCCTCACTGTTAAACAGAAAGCACTTTTCTATGCTTGTTGGAAAACATAGGCAAAGCAATCAAATATTTATAAACTGGGTCTGTGTTAAAAGTGGATAATATCAAGAACTACCTCAGAGTTCTGTTCACTCAGGTTAAAACTCAAGAAATGCTGTTCACAGTTTATTACTATCATGGCACTATGCTCTAATAACAATTTTTGAGTCTTTCTTGAAATAAAATATTCAATGATATATAGGTCATGTCATAATGTATTAGTTATCATTTTGATAACGATAAGCCATCATCTTAAATTTGCAACCAGACCTCTGCATAAAAGGAATCATAGGGATCCCTCTTTTTGGTGCATTTGATGCACATTAACATTCTTGCTAATAATAGACACTGGAGAAGTCACTCTGCCGTTTGCAGAAAACAAACAAATTACTGGATTCAGCAAAGTATAGATTCTTCGGTGGTAATTTTGTCCAAAAATAGAACAAAACAGTAAAACCTTCTCATACCACAGATGTGTTCAATTGTTTAGGATTTCCCTATGTGCAACAGTCTATTAAGACCATGCAAAGCTCCTCTTCTTTTGTTAACATAAGCTTTCTCCCCAGCTTTAACATTAAGGGAACCATTCTTAGCTCTCGGTTTATGACTTTCATAATTGTTTTTCCCCAGAAAGATCTTACTGTATGGTCTAAACGTTTCTCGGTTTATACTTTCTTTTCTCTCCCCATTTTGCGTGCCACTCTATGACATCAGAAAGAGCACTGCTCAGTACCAAAAGCCATAGTTTATGAGTTTCTGTTCTGGTGGAAAAAATGCATTAGAGTAGCGGTCTTATCTGACACTTGAAACACTCATTTTGAAGAGTTATACTATTGAACCCTCAACCTCTCTCTACACACAAAATTATTAAGGACACACCTTCCTCTTTTTGATAGCTAGAGATCCGAGGATAAATGGTACTAATAGGGAACAAAAAAAGATTCCACCTAAGATGTTTAAATGGGTGCGCTTTAATCTTATCTAACTATTGTGCAAGGAATTAATCACCCTTTTGATTCAGTGTACTGCTTGTAAGTTAATATCAGATTCATATTTGTTCTTTCTGTTTTAAGTAGGCTTAATGCAAAATTGAACTCCTGCTTAAAGAGACTTAATTTTAAAGAAGGTTGAATGTCGGCTAAGAAGGAATGTGTATTACAGTTATGGAAAAATCTTTTTACCTGCTTTTTTCTCTCTGTTGGATAGGTAGAGTTGGAGGGCTTAACGGGACACATTGAATTCAACAGCAAAGGTCAAAGGTCGAACTACGCCCTGAGAATCATGCAGAACAGCAAGGAGGGCCTAAGGCAGGTAAAGTAACTTTGAGCCTCATACATTAAAGGATAAGCATATCAATCATTAAAAAATTGTGAAACATTTACATAATGAGAAATGTATATCTGTGTGAAACAACACAGACTGGTCCATCTCTCTTCAGATAAGCCTTGGCTTTAACATCACAGTAACTGTCCGCACTGCTGATCAGACACAGTCCTTTTCCCAGTAGGGCACTACTTCTGGCAAATCTTGCACTTTTCTTTATAGTGGTGTGGTACAGTTAGCTGAATCGTACCACAGGGAGTTTTGATAACACTTGCTCAGCTGACATTTCTTGGTGCAAACAATCTCCATTATCCTGCTGGCAGAGGAGCTGATGTGCCAGAGGACAAAAATTAAATATTCAGGATGCCCCTTTGAAGGTGAAAGAAGTACACTTAAAGGGGAAAATAAATTTAGATTGAAAGAGAAGTTTGCTTTGAAGAAAGAATGGCTTTTGGTGCCGTTATCGTTGCTTTAACAGAAGTGTAGAAAACTTCAGTTAAATGTCAGACTTTTGAGGTTCCTATTCTTATTGCTACTTTATTTTCCCTAAATCAAAAATAATACACTATATCAATAATGCTTTACTGGTTTTGATTGCTCACCATATATATATATATATATATATATATATATATATATATATATATATATATATATATATATATATATATATATATATATACATATACATATATTTGTTTTAAAAGCCATATATACATCCATATACTGATCCTTTTTAAAGAAAGATGTACAATATCTTGGGGCACTTCAGTTTCACATCAGAGGACAAATTCATATGTGTTGCAATTTTTACAGATGAAGTGATTTTATAAAGATCCCTAAAAGTGCTAATGGTTGCGAACAGAATGTACTTAAAAAGAATCTTTTAGCAGTTTAGTCTACGGTCTGTTAAACATTGCAAACCTACTGATGTATTCCTGCATTATCTTTTTCCTCTTATTCAGGGTTTATCCTTTCATCTTTGCAGAGGTTTTTATATCCAGCTTCAAGTGTTCATACATTTTAAACTCTACAACTTTCTTTCTCAAATATTTGATCCGTAAAAAATGTGTTTATTATTGTAGGTTTTTATATTCTAAAATTTCAGACTATGTGGTTCTGTGCCAGTCATAGCTTTTTGGTGATTTTTGATCACCTTTTTTAAAGACTACTTGCTAATATCCTTCCTTTGATAAATTAGGATTTCTCTTTAGTAATCATAGTATTGCAAGAGACACTGTAAGAAAAGCATTAAAAACGTTTAGCCCTTCTTGTGCCAATTATCATTGGCTATCTTTATTTGGAGCAGAATCTATGCCAGACCTCTGCGTGAAAAGCAGCAACTGTAAATCAAAGTTTAACTGTAATTTGAATGAAAAGAAAAAAAAAATCATTGAAAAGTTTTTACTGACTTTTAAGTCATATGTGGTTAGTAAAATTAGCATGGCTTCCAATTCAAAGCATCAGTCTTTGTGAGTCTTCAAAGGATAGTATGGGTTGTTACCTTAGAAGCAATATGACATTTTCAAATCCTATTACATTCATTAAAGGCAGAGTTTTAAAGCTTAATGAGGAAGGAAACAGAAAATCTTCAATTTGCTCTTTTGAGTCTACAGTTATCTACATTAGTATAAAGTTTTGCTTTTACTCATTCTAGCATTCTGATGAACCACTTATTTTGTCATTGTATAGAAATTACAACTATTTGAATATCTCCCTGCATCTTTATCAAACTTGTTTTTTGACCTTAAATTTTTGTAAAATTGTTAATCTTAAGCGATTTTGATTTATTTACCATCCACAACAAAACAAATCAACCCAATGAGGGTTAGTCAGCTAGGAATCATAAAAAAATGCCATTTTGTTGCTTAATTTCCACTGGTAAGCGTATGCATGTTCAGTGTGTGGTCCTTCTGATCAGGAAATACCTCTGAGTTCTAGTAGAGTAGTTTGAGGCAGAAACTAGGATAAAGTTTACCTTTGCATGAATTAGCTACATCCTGAAATCTCCCAGCATAGTTTAACCATCCCTACCATTAAAGTCTTTGGAGTGAGTCAGTTCAGATGTTGTAGCAACTCAGCTAAGTTTTTCAACGAGATATTTTACATATATGTTGATAGTTGTAGGCAGAAAGGATCTTCTGTTGCAGTCTGTCTTGCAACAGATCTAAAAAAGCATTTGTTTAACAATCTTTAGAAGAGGATGAACACAGTTGTCCACAGTATTCTTCATTTTATGAAGTATTCTTCCTTGTGAAATCATCTCCAGAGGTTCTGGAGAAGTTTCTAGATCATAGGTAGCCTTTCTTTTATTAGCTTCTTTAAGTCATTTGCTATTGCATTTATACTCCTCCACCGCCTCCGCTTCTACTCCCATGATGTTAATAGGATACAACCTGTTCCCGTTTCTACTGAAATCGACAACAATGTCCCTTTTTTGCCTCTGGTGATTGAGCTGACTGCTTGAACCTTCAGTCTCTCAAACTGTGGTCTGTTTGTCAGGTAGGCTCTGATCCAGACAATTGTTCATACCTCCACCTAGGTCCTCTTGAGTTTCTGACAAAGCATATCAGGCTGAATCATAGTTAACTCCCTGTTTAAATCCAATAATATGATTGTCTCCCTGCTGTCTGCGTTGTCTAAATGACACTGGGTTTGTTGAAGCAGGAGTATGATACTATCTTCAACTCCACTGTGATAAACAAACTGCAGGGGGTCCTGATCGCCGCATTGCTCAGGTGGACCAAGAGGAGTCTCTCTGAGACCTCCATGATGTTAGATGTCAGGGCAACAGGTCTGCAGTTATTGAGGCTAAGTTTTATTTTGTAGTGGACAAAGAAAAGAGGTCTTCCACACCACTGGAAGTGTCTCTTGGATCTTCCTAGAGTTAAAGAGGTGCTGTAAGATCCCACTCAGCTGCTCTGCTCAGACCCTCAGGACTCTGGGGCTGACACCATCTGGACCTGGTACCTTATTGTGATTCAGTATCTCTGGTTGCCTCTTGACTTCATTGCTAAAGAAAGGCAGATGGAAGTTCAAGCTTCTGATTTGGTTGAGGGCAGATGCATAGAAACAGAGGGATCATGGCAAAGGTGGAAGATGAAACATTTGAGATGTGCACTAAGAAGGCTACTTTGGGTCAGACAAGACCAGGGTGAGCTTGTTCCTAAGCTGAACTTATTGAAGAATGTGTCCAGTTCAATGATTCTGTCCAGACCTCCTTCAGCCTGATCCGTCTCCTGCTAAAAACTTATAATATTCTTAATCTTTGGCAACAAATCTCTGATATTGTTCTGCTGGAGTTTGCATTTAAGCTTCTTCCTGTATGCTTCCTGGCTTTTTTTTCTATTGACATTAGGATGCTTCAACGTTCTCCCCATACTGCTGTCATGAAGGCTCTTTTTTCTCATTCAGTAGTTCCTTCAAATCGCTTGTGGCCCAGGCTTCATCACTGAGGAATTGTGTTATCTACACAGAATTTTATAACTAAGGATAAGGGGTGTTCTTATGATCTTCAGGTTTCCCGTCACTGCATAAGGTCAATCACATATACTGTAGAATTGTCTGAGTCATTGTATTTGGTGGTTTCTGGATTTAGCAAATATGCATTTTGTTTAATATATATTTTTATATATCTTACAATCTGTTTTTTAATAATTATTGTATTCTCATACTTTAAAAATAACGTTTCTTATTTGTAGCACATTTGTTTCCTTGCAAAAAGCATTAAGATTGTTTTGTTGTTTCCTTAAATGACAGATAATTTTGTTTGGTCTGAAAAGAGTTTCTGAGTGCACATATCTATTATTTTATATTTCATCCCAAGGGGTTAAAGAAGATGTAAAATGATATCTGCAGTGTTCTTTTCACAAGGCTCTAAACAAATATATGTGGATAGCATTTCCTTTCGGCGTATCTATCTCCCACCCTGGCAACCATAAAACCATACATATTTCTCTGTTGCCCTTCTGTCTCTGCTGCATTATGTACACTATACAGGTTATTATCCATCAATAATCCTACAAGCTGTCACCAACCCGCAATAGCAGAAAGCTTTGTTTATGCCTTCTTATCTACAGCATTCTAAGTAGCTGTTATTGTATTATCTCTTAGGCTGGATAGAAAAAGAGCAGGCATCATAGTGCTTCACGGTGTTTTCAACCTTTTAGTGGATGGCTTCGTGAAAAAGCCTGAGAGTGAGCAACATCTTTTCTCAGCAGCCTGTGAAACAGTCACTCGGTGGCCTGATGCTTTTATTAACCTTGTCTGTCTCCCCTCACGCCCCCTTTTAGTCTGGCACTGGGCCATTCAAGCAGAAGGATAACACTATCAGGCCTGATGTGATGATTTCAAGCAGAACTATTGCAAAGCAGCTGCAAGGTGTTACATAGGGGGAAGAATGGAGGGAGGTTGCTGAATGCTTTGTTAACAAAACACCTCCCACATGCTGTTAGTTTTGGTTGCCACAGTCAGGCGGACAGCAGAGGGGCAGGGCTTTGGCAAAGAGGAAAGGTGGCTCACAGCCCAAAAACACAGTCTAAGGGTAATATTTTTATGCCAGCACATGCTGCCATAATGCTTCAAGTCTTTTGTTTGGCTAAATAGTTTATTAGTATCATAAATAGTATCTGGCGTTAAATGTGCAATAAAAAAAGAAAGCTGGCATGAACAGCGGAATGAATATCAACATCTTAGCTGCCTCCGACCAGTGATATAAAAACATTTGGTTTAATAAACCTTAATGTACACAACCATTCACAATGTGTCTGTTGCCTGCATTGTGAGCTGTTTATCTTTCTTTTTTATTATTTATTGAGTAAATGTGGCTGGATGTGCTACCAGCTCTGTGGGGAATATTGGTGTTTTAGATGGCCAAGCTTACAGAGTAAATTATGAGATTTGTTTCAGAGGCTAAGCTGCATATCTCACTGGTGTGTTACAATTATTCTCTATTCTTTTGCTCTGCTATAAGAGACAAACAGGGCTCA